AGCCTTAGTGCGCACTCAGTGCGCACTAGTGCAAGCAACCGAATTCGCTATAACTCTACTCGAGCATTGGAAAGCAATACTGAGTTGTCTTGAACCATGAAGATACTAGATAGTTGTGCCTATTACATTTTTTAACTCTAGTGGAACTAACTCGTACTCGATTTAACGTAAACACCCAGTGTACGTAGATGGAAAGTACCCAAAATCATGCAAATATATATAAAGGTATCATGCAAAGATTATTTTAAGAAGATTCAATAAAATGATTTTGTTTCTTGCTGGAAAAGGTTAGGCGACAGTTTCCCGAAAAATGGAGAGGATAATGTTGGTACCAAAAGAAACCTTTACATGATATAATTTAAAGATCTGTTTTTTGTAACTGCACTGCTGAACTAATGCAAAAGGTTAGAGTGAGAAAACGTATACTTGCCTCATTTCAATTTATTGCACCAATTTAGCAGTGCAGTTACAAAGAACAGAATCTTTAAATTATATCGTGTAGAGATTTTCCTTGGTACCAACATTATCCCCTCCACTTTTCGGGAAACTGTCGCTTAAAGCCCGTATCAGACTACCGACTGCACTGGCCGACCCGACTGCCGACTACGACTGCCAACTCTCAATGGACCAATCACAGTGAGGCGCCGAGTCAGCGCCTCACTGTGATTAGTCCATTGAGAGTCGGCAGTCGTAGTCGGCAGTCGGGTCGGCCTGTGCAGTCGGTAGTCTGATATGGGCTTAACCCTGAAAAATGACCTATTTATATGTAGGACACTACTAATCACTTATTAGTGCTTCAGCGGGCAGCACAGATTTTTGCGTAATGCATAAGGAAATAAACCAATAAAACCTTCCTTTTTATTGTGAAAGTAGAAATAAAGGATTTTTTATTATTTACTTATGCGTCATACAAAAGTCTGTGCTCTCTGCTTTAGATTACTTGTTGCGCGAGTCGTCCCGTCGCGCGCAATGAACGGGACTTAAGATCCGTGACAGTCTCCGCCTCCCACCGACCATCAGCGGGAGAGTGTACTACGACTACTGACAAGTGTTGTCATTTTCTATCAAATGTCAACGTGAGCCCTTTGACGCTATCTTGCCGGCGAGGCTTGTCACGACGCTTCAATTTGTCAGGTCGTTGACTTGCAGTCATCTGTCAATTCGCACCATGAGTTCCTCGATGTCGATGAACAACGCTGGTCCTTCAGCCACTGCCACTGGTATGGAGACGGTGGTGGCAGTCGCATTGGGTGCACTCGCAGCGGTCTTTCTTGGCGCGCTCTTGGTGCTCCTAGTTATATGTCGCAGACAACGTTGCTATTACGTGAGTTTGATTAAATTCTTCAGTTTATTGGTTTTTAAAAGAACCAGGCTGTCGAGAAAGAAAACTATGATCTCCTTTGCTTACAGAATCAGAAGGATTCTGCGGACTTGAGTTCCGACTTGCTGGAAGGAGAGAATATCACTGGCTTGGGATTAGATGCTTGGGAAAGCGAGGAGTGGCTAGCTGGTGCTGAAAGGTAAAGAGGATGATAAAGAATGTATCCTTTTACACAGTGAAATTAAAGCATATCACGATATTTTGCTTCATATCTAACATCAACAATTCAACTCTTATCGACTATATATTTTGTCTATGACTTGTAAACTATATATATATACCTATATATTTTGACCTGACTTATAAATATGTTTCTAATAACCTTCCATTATTAAAAGTATACATTTACAAGTCATATACTCCTGAGTTCATTCAAACAGCTTGTAAGTTATATACAAGGTGAAGTAGTAAGGGGAATAGTGCTAGGTGGAACAGATAAAAAATCAGTCGAAATATGTGATATGTGCCGAGCTCTGTATTATTATTATTATTATTTAGTTTCCTATTGCTCTATATATTGTTGTTTAGATTTTAATCTTTGAACTTTAATCCATGTACTCAAATTCTTTTTTTATGCAGACTGTAATTGTAAGGCATTTATATCACAATTATTTCGATTTTTTAATCAAAACATGGTCAAAACATTATGTATCTCAAAGTATACTCATACATGTTTAAAAACATGATTCGCACCTAATATCAGTATTTGAACTTTTATTGCTAATACTTTGTTAATATTTTGCTAATACTTTGTTTCCTTTGAAATTTTTATTTTGTTTAAGAATTCGGCTTTGAATCTGCACTCTTTTTATGAGAATTAAGTTGAGGCAAATTGTAAAATTTAGATTGATCAAAATTTGCATTACTCTCACGTTACAGATGGGTGGACGATGCTACCGGCCTAGCTCCACCTTGTATAGCAGTGCTACGATCTTGTCATGCCCTGGCAGCAAGTCTCACGGCTATCGCTGGGACTGTCAACAGCAATACTGTGCCTTTGGAAATAGTAGATGTAAATACGATTATCACCTACTCGATACGATTAACACTTAATCTGCTATTTCTACCAAATTCCGCCCTTTAATTTGATTAATTAATTATATTAATTACTCATCTTCGTCTGCGCAGGTTGCACGACGTATACCACCTCGCGTCGACGACGTAGTGCGGAGTTTGTATCCACCGTTGGACGCTAGACTGCTGGAGGCTAGAGTGGCGGCTCTGGTACTGGCGGTGACCCATTTGGCGTTGGTGACAAAGCACGGCGTGCCGAAGAATCAGGCCAGAAAGTTGGCATTCATCGACCAAGCTCTTAACGATATGGACACGCATCTATTGGTGCTTAGGAACGCTGCATTGGCGCAGGAAGTGGCCTGTTCTATTCCGGCCTCGACGCCAGTTTGAATTTACTTTGCAAGTTGATCTCGCGAGGTACTCGTAATCTTTGAACAATCATCCTCCTTTCTGCGGTTCTGAATAATGCAATATGGCGTGGCTGCAACGAAAACTGTACATAATACAGTTAGTTGCTAGATGTGCTTAGTTGCACAAATGTAGTACATTTGGAGTACATATGTATATATATCCTGGTGTACTTCTTTATTCAGGATATATATACATATTACATTGTTTTTCGGTTAGCATTGCGCAAATATGGGTAATTGATCTCAAGATATAGAATCTCAACGAATACAAGGCTCAGGATCACTGATGCAAAGAAATTCTTCAGATATTTCGTGTCGATTATCGTTGTTATAAAAATTGTATACATTACATTTTTCGCCACGGCACACGTTGGAAGTATATCGCGTGAAAGTTATTTAAATAAGTTTTTAAAACGCCTAACGAATGATATTTTGTAATGCAAAGATATATGCAGAAACGGCGGTCTTCCATGTTAATATATTATCATAGTTATTTATATATATATATATATATAATCTATATTTACGTACATATAGATAAAAATGTATTTTGGAACTATGTAATCCATCGTACCTGTGTATGTTTGTACATGTTACAACAATATTTTATATCCTTGCAAGAGAGAATCAAATTATTTTAGATTAAGAAGAAATTTGTAATACAGTTGACCATAAAAGAAACATTGTTTCCTGTTTCTCGTCCGTGAACTGTTTTATTCTTGTGCCTTTCTCGGCGCGATCTACTTAAATTTAATTCACATTTTCGTGCGATGTGTTTTCTTTGAGAGACTCTAGATCCTTGCAAGAGAGGTAATACGACAATACGTTATACGACCTGCGGTTTGTGGAGAAAGTGGAGAATATAATTTCAGCCTAATATTTCAATAAATTAACTAAGTAATCTGACCATTACACCGACACGCTACATAGCAGCGTGCACTCGGTGATCAGTCTAATGCAATTTTCAAAACGAAATTCCTATAATCAAGTTTCATGATGCAATAGAAAGAGGAAAACCTAGCGGATCACAATCGAAATACTGTCCGCCTTATTTGCCCCTGCTGGCGAGATCTTTCTGCCTCTTCTGGTTGTCAGAGAGAACTTTGTTCTTCAGGTGTTCTTTGTAATCTAAAATGTTCCCGCTCCACTTTGTAACTGTTCCATTTTCGCATACCCAAATTTCCTCGGCAACCTAAACATAAAAAAAAATAATACGTCGGATTAGTTATTTTGTATTAAAACAATTAGAGATTTTTAAATATTAAGATTATTTCACCTGATTAATCAATCTGAAGTCGTGCGATACGAGAACCATGCCGCCGTCGAAATCGTTAATAGCGTCGGCGAGCGCATCGATCGTCTCCATGTCCAAGTGATTGGTAGGTTCATCAAGCAACAACAGATGAGGCACTTGCCAAGCCAACCAGGCGAACACAACCCGACAACGTTGGCCATCGGATAATTGGCGAATAGGACAAATCTAAGCAAAATTAGTAATGGTGCATTTTCATACGTTCGTTGTTTTCAAATCTAACTGTTCGCTTACAGATTTAACACAATAATGAATGTTCAGTAAATTATACCTGTTGACGTCCGGTTAAACCATAACGACCAATGATCTTTCTCATTTCTTCGCGTTCTTTGACATCGGGAAAAGCTTTCATCATATAGTCGAGAGGCGACATATCCAAATCCAATAATTCGTGCAAGTGCTGGTGATATCTGCCGATTCGGAGATGACTGTTCTTGCGAATCATCCCGCTTGTTGGTACCAACTGCAACGCGACGTAGTTTAGTCGGGAAAGAAGTCAAGTGCCATGTTTATCAGAAAAATATATTCGCAACATACATCACCGTACAACAATTTCAACAATGTACTCTTCCCTGCACCGTTCGGTCCAACCAGCGCGATTCTGGTATCCAAGTCAATTCCGAACTCGAGATTTTTATAAATCCAAGGCGAATCTTCGTTATAGCGAAAACTGACGTTTTGAACCATGATGACTGGTGGCGGAATCGTCCCGCAGGACGGAAAGTAGAAGTTCAGCACTTTGTCGTTGATGACCTTTTCCGTCAGACCTTGTGCCACCATTTTCGCCAGGGTCTTTTCCTTTGATTGAGCCTGTCTCGCCAGTTTCGCCGAACCATGACCGAATCGCGCAATGTAGTTTTTCATATGTGCTATTTGATCTTGTTCCCAGTTGTATTGTTTCGCTTGATTCTCAAGTAACTCCATTCTAATCGAACAAATTTGGTTAATTTAATCGTTAGAATTGATGATACTACGAAATGTAACTTATGAGATAAAGCATTTTATTTTCCGGCTTACCGTGTCTTGACGAAGGCCTCGTAATTACCGGTGTAGTACTTCAATTGCTTCTTATTGACATGGATGATATTGGTGCAAATGCCGTTGAGGAAATCTTGAGAATGGGAGATTATAACGAGAATTCGTTTATAGGTCTTTAATTCTTCCTCCAACCACACGCAAGCATCTAGATCGAGATGATTGGTCGGCTCATCGAGCAACAAAAGATGTGGCTTTACATACAACGCTCTGTAAAAATGTTATATATGAATTTTTTTTTAACATTAAAGCTTAATATATAATGTGCTCTTTACTTTCTATTACTTATTTTTTACCTTTTTTTTGACTTAAGATTTAAGGTTTGAATCGGAAAGAGATAAAGAGAAAGAAACATGAAGAAAGAAACATGAACAAAGAGTACATTGTAGATCAAGAACAGTAAAACACTAGAAATAAAGAAGCTTGCTCATTTTGGGCTCTTCGCGATTAGTAATGAATCGCATATTGACTGATAGAGGAATGATAGACTACTGAAATCCGTTGCGGAAAGGGCCACTGGAAATAGTAACAGACGACAGATATTTCAAGTTGATATTTTAAAATAGTTTATGTTACTCGTTGCTATCGTTATCATGGAGAAGTACTCTTTACACGTAAAAATAGAATAAAAATGCCACTTAACATGGTATCTAATCGAATAATTTGCGATATATAACCAACTTAAAGTAGAAAATAGTTAATAGAGAGTCAATACGCAGTTACTGTGCGAAATTTAAACTTTTATTTTAGGAAAATAATAAATTTTGCATTAATATCTGAGTGTTGGCTCTTATTGACCTATCTCTATTTTACTTGGCTATTTAACACTTTTCAAATATTTCAAAGAATGTATCTTTAAACTGAATCGATTTAGAGAATTTTGTCTGTGGAACATTAATCTTCTAACAATAATCTTTCGTTTTAGTTAAGTTCTATTATTAGCTGTGAGGAGCCCAGAACCCATATAAAAATAGAGCAAGTAATTTCTTTAAAAGTCTTTTTCTTCAAAGTTTCCGCATACCTAGCGAGAGCAATACGCATTCTCCAACCTCCTGAGAAGTCTTTGGTAGGTGTTCTTTGCATTTTCGCAGTGAAACCAAGACCGTGCAAAATATGAGCAGCACGAGCTTCTGCCGTGTCGGCAGCCATATCATCTAATCTCTCGTATACATCCATGAGTTGTTCCTGTACAATATATTAAAATAATAAAGTTTTTTAGACAAATATTCCTCTATTGATAAATTACAAACCAATAATTCGCAAAGAGCAGCAGAAGAGAAACAAACCTGAGCATCCTCCTCTTCGCAATCCACTAATTCTTCAGCGAGTTTCTCAAGTCGTATACGTTCCTCGTCAACCTCCATTACGCATTCTAATGCCGTCTTATTGCTGGCGGGCATTTCTCTAGTCAAATGAAAAATATCTATTTGGTCCGGAATAGGAACTTCGCGGTTGCCTAATACCGCCAATAACGTAGACTTTCCAGAGCCGTTTAGACCTAGTAAACCATAACGTCTGCCGCAGTTTAATTCCAACATGGTGTCCTGCAGCAATTCACAGCCATGGAAAGTAATAGAAAAATTCGATATCTTTATATCCCGACTGCGCGGATGCGAAGCTAAAGATCCGGTGCATGATCGTGCCTCCGCGTTCAGCTTGGCGTCCGCTTCCAATTTCAGACACAATGCCTCTGCAAATACATACATCATTACATACATATGTGTGTGTGTGTGTATATATGCATATATTATATATAATACAATATATTATATACAAAAAAATATATATACACACATACATACATATATACATACAAGTATTTGATGCAATAAGCATGCTCCTGATATAGAGCAATTGCAAAAAAATTTTAAAAACGTATATAAAATATACATAACATAAATATAACATGAAATATAATGCTTCTTATTCTGAACTCTCTTTTCTCTCTCTTAATAAAAGAGCTTCTAAAAGTTATAAGCTTTTTGATTGGCTGTAAGCTATTTTTAGATTGAGAATTATTATCAAGAATAAGTGTTTTTACAATACAATGCAAATTATGTCATTGTATGTATGTTAACAAGTATTTGATGAAGCGTGTTTCAAATATTGCAATTTTAGTTAGTTAAAACTCAGATAAAGTCTTTCGTTGAGAAAGAGAACATTTATATTTGAAAACATTATACTGCAAAATGAGATTGTACTATAAAAAGAGAACATATGATTATATTATTAAAAAAACCTCTTAAATTATCATCAAAATATTCAAATTAAGAATGTAACAATTTGTAATTTTGTTTTCATTAAGTTCAATTTTGATTTTATTAGAAATAAAAATATTTAAACAATTTTTTTTAATAAAACTGCAACTTCTTATGAGAAAATAGATGCTCAATGAATATCTACTAACAGTGACATTATATCAATATTACAACAAAAATGAAAGAATAAGGAATTTATATTAAATAATATTCTAACTTAAATAATATTCTAAATTTTGTGAATAATTTGATTAGACTGAATTCATTATATTATATCTGTACATTGACTTTTATTGACAACTATATCCTTGATTGTGATTAATGTCATAATTTCTCTTTCAGCAATGTAAGTATAACATATGTACATGATAGTTTTTTGTTAAATGAGAAATTATAATATTGATGTGGGTTACTGTTGGTTGATGTTTACTAGATACAGAAGAAGCAAATTTTGGAACCCAAAAATCTGAAACTCTTTTCTTTTTTTTTCTAAATATTGCAATTATATAATGTTAAGAAAAATTCATAAGTATAATAAGAAATTTTAAATATATGTACAAAATTAATCTCCAAATTTACATCTTGAACAGTAATTTAAGAAAGCCAAGAGTATGTAGTGATGACATACTATTCATTCTTTTTCTTTTCTTTCCTCTCTCTCTTACTGACCTTCAGCACTGATAGCTGTTCCGTTCGTGCCATTCTGCAGATCTCCTAACGTCGGGCTCTGCTCCTTGCCGTCCTCGGCTGTTTTCGCCTGATTGTTACTTTGTGGCGGCTTCTTACCAGATTGTCGGGCTTTCGCAGCCTCCTTCTTCTTCTGCTGCTGTTTTTTCTTCGCGTCGGACGGCATCGTACCACTTATACCTGCAACGTTCACCGGCCGTTATTACAGCTTCCAGGAGGCGAGTGTACTCGGTAGGAGGGTTAAATCGCGACGTTTCCACGCGTTACATAAGACATAAGTTAAGGGAATTCATTGCACGTGTGTGCCAGGGCAGAAAAGCAACACGAGAACGTGTAGCGTCACCCTAAAACGGCCACGACGCGAGAGACAACCGTTGCGAGAGGGAGCGAAAGAGGGTAATAAGAAACCACCTTGCAGCACCAGACAAAATAGTCGTGAATACTCACAATCGCATATTGTTTCGAGACTTCAACGTGTGGTTTTTTAGGGCGGTCGTTCGGGAAAATTCACGAATATACTCACTTGTGCGCCAAAAACTGAGCGAATCGTGCAGACACGCGACACACGTGCGTCAGATCAAAGAGAAGCCTGAGAGCGGCCACCGGTCTGATTTCAGCGGCCAGAGCTAGGCGCATTTTAGATACGCCATCTAACCAAAATGCGCCTAACTACGTCTATCAGGCGCACTAGGGTGGTCCTTATTTACTCTTGGTCAAAATTCCTTTTTCCAATTTTTTCTGCGGCATCTTTCAAAAAGTTTCCATTTGACAAAAAAATAATTCTTATCGAGTTTGAGTTCGATCGGATAACGAAAACCCGTGCCGCCGAGTCATTAAACATTGAAGTACTCTTGTATTAAGCTATTTATGTTATTAATATGGTTTTTAAAGGTTAGGCGACAGTTTCCCGAAAAGTGGAGGGATAATGTTGGTACCAAAGAAAATCTCTATACGATACAATTTAAAGATTTTGTTCTTTGTAATTGCACTGCTAAATTGGTGCAATAAATTGAAATGAGGCAAGTATACGTTTTCTCACTCTAATCTTTTGCATTAGTTCAGCAGTGCAGTTACAAAAAACAGATCTTTAAATTATATCGTGTAGAGATTTCTCTTGGTACCAACATTATCCCCTCCACTTTTCGGGAAACTGTCGCCTAACCTTTTTAAAGCGTCTTTTCCACAAAAATCGCTCTAGAGGAATTTTCTTTTTTCTTTCTACATCATTTGAGATCTTATAGAGTGTTTCCGATAATGGGTGCTTCCGAAATGTCCAGGTTTGAGTCAAGTTGAGTTAGTTCCACTATAGTATACGTTACATATACTATAGTGGAACTAACTCAACTCGACCCAACTCTGGGTATTTCGGAAGTACCCAATCAGCACACCTCTCCGAGTCATTTCCTTAGAGCAGAAATAAGTTACAGACATCACCATCTAATACTATTATGTGATTCATGACAACTCAAAGCTACCTAATGGCTCCTGCACACAGGACGTGGTAATGCTTGCCGCACGGCGGAAGTCCGCGGGACAGCCAATCAATATGTTGTTTTTTCGTAAGAGCTAGAAGGTTATTACGGAAAGCAGCATATTGATTGGCTGTCACGCGAACTTCTGTTGCGCGGCAAACATTACCGCGTCCTGTGTGCAGGAGCCATAAGGCTGATATTTCACGTGTCGTACGACAAGCTTTTTGGATACATTCATTGGTTGACGAACAGAGAACCTAAAAATACTCTATTTGCCAACCAATAAATGTATCCGAAAAGCTTGTGGTACGACACGTGAAATAGCACCTTAATGCTGTCTCACGACTGCAACAGTGCTGGGAGTTCGGGATATATTTTCGTGCACGCGCATTGAGCAAACGCTATGGTAACCTCAGCGCCATATCTATTTTAAGATCCCTCACTTAAGAGAAAATATGAAGGGATTGTAGGGAAAAAAGAAAGTTTGTGGGAAGAAACAGAATGTTGTTCATGAGTAAAAATAAATATATTTTTTATTTTGTAATTTCTGCAGCCAACCAATCTTTGAAAATATTCATATTTAACCATGCATATTGAAATTTTCTTTTTGCACATTTCCTTTTCTTTTCCTCGATGCCACTTGATGATGAAAGCTGTTGTTAATCTATTTCTTTTTTTAATACGGCACTTTTTTTTATTAACTTAATAATTGCACTTTTTTTTATTAACTTAATAATTGCACTTTTTTTTATTACAATATCACTTTATATTAAAATTGCACTTTTTTTATCACATTTTATTTATTATAAATATATAATATATATATACATATTATATTATCACATTTTCTCACACACACAGCTACACTAATTATTATAACTATATTAATTATACTAATTTATTATTGTAATATTTCACTATATCTAACCTAACCCTAACCATTCGCGGGCAAACAACACAGACAGACGGCCGAATATTTTATGCATGTCCTCTAAAAACCCTTTACTCGTGTCTAACGCCGTCATTGGAAACTGCTTACGTCGAGCTACTACGTCATCTCATGTGTTACGTTCACAATGGGTAACTATATAGGGAAATTCGAAAGTAGTAAAATCAGTGACTTACGTGGACGGCCAACAGAGTGATGACTTCACTTTTGGGTCACTCGGCTTTGCACCAAGTTTATCCCGGGTCTTCGGAGTCTGACGAAACGATCGATGAATCTGGCTCGGTCTCGATGTTTCAGCGTTGCGCGAGATGATGCAGCCCTTGATTCTTAATTTCGGTTTCGCAATGTTCGAAGTATAGAGGATGGTTAAGAGTAATTACTACACGTTCGCTTTGAGACTAATATATTACGAGAATTACCAGCGAAAATGATTACAAGAATGATTATAAGAAAAGGAGCGCCTTTTTTTACCGATGCGCGCGTTTTATACGTTGGCTTTATGCTGAGAGTCGTTTTCCAATTGGCCCACGGAGTCATGGAGAGGGAAGAGATGCATTCCTCCGGTATGATGTCACCGCGTCGATGTCCTGAGTGGTGTTTGGGGATTCGGTTTTCATGCTCCTGTTTATCGCACCTGTTTTTAGCTTATCGCACTGAGCGATAACGGTTCCTCTAGGTTGATCCATCGATTTTAAGACTCTCCAGCGGCACGCAGTACTCGGCATTATAATTTTAATTACAACGTTTTAACGCTTGCGAATATACACATGCGCACGTACTTATGTCTAGTAATATAGGGATAAAATATCCTAGTGATGTCTGAAATCAGACAAGTCGGCCTCCGGTTTGTAATAATATATTATTAATGATTTAAAATAAATCCGAACGTTACACATGCGCAGAAGAGTTCCTGTCAGCTAGAAAATATCCCGAACTCCCAAAAGTGCGTTCATAAAGTTTACTTTTTAACTCAGAGTTAACTAGAGTCAACTCTATAGCGTTCAGAAATTCGAATATGACCGGAAGTACGTTCAGAAGGTCGATTGTGTATCTCAAAACAGAGTGAAAATGACAAAAGTGAGCAAATTTACTAGAACATTTGTAACTTCATTGGTCAATGCCTAGTGAATTTGCTAACTTTTGTAATTTTCACTTTGTTTCGAGATACACAATCGACCTCCAGAATAATGGCTCCTGCACACAGGACGCGGTAATGCTTGCTACACGGCGGAAGTTCGCACGACAGCCAATCAATATGTTGTTTTTCCGTAAGAACTAGAAAGTTATTACGGAAAGTAGCATATTGATTGGCTGTTGCGCGAATTTCCGCCGCGCGGCAAGCATTACCGCGTCCTGTGTGCAGGAGCCATAAAAAGTTCATAAATCTGGCAGAGTTAACGCTAGACTTAACTTTTTTAACTCATGTCAACTAGGTAGGTAGATATAACTCGACATGTGCAGTAATAAATATCTACTTATTTTAACAGAAATAAGAGATTATAATCAAGTGGTAATACAAATTACATGCAAACATAACCCTAACCACGCTGTCCACGCTAATACCATTATATATTTTATCTTTTCTATTTTTAATTTATATTATCTGAAAGAATGGAAAGATATGTAGTAGTGACAGATAAAACAGGAAAAAGAATTGTTGATGAAAATGGTCTAACATTAATATAAAATGTTACAGGTAATTTATTTTTTAATGAAAAAATTGTTAATCAATTATTGTTGCATCTTTCACAGCTTGTAATAAATAATATAAAATAGTTATAATTGTTTTTTCTTACAAATAGGGGAGATAAATATTTGTTGGAAACATTTTTTAAGACAAAGATATATATTATTTAGATATTAAGATGTTATAATTTTAACAACAAATTCCAATAATATTGTTATGTCCGTGACATTGGGTGTCTCGTCCCCGTCAAGCAACAGCTAGAGTGTCAGCTGAAGTGTATGCAATTCTCTTGTGTATCTTGTGTAAACTAGTAATCGATGTCTCTTGGTTACGATTGTAAACAAGTGTGTTGTTGTTGTCATGTTCGAGCCTTCGCCTTGCGAGGACATGTCACGTTGTGTTTTAAGAAAGAATCTCTGAGTTTATAATTAAAAGTTTACGTTCTTTCTTAAACGTGTGTTGTTTCATTTTTTGTGAGTGCGCGAACGTAACATTTTAGGAATTGGTGTTAAGTCTTCCTTTGCCACAGCATCTACTTGTCTTCGGACAAGGGGGGGGGGGAATAACTTATGTGGACCCATCATCTAAAAGGATTCCCTAAGTCCCCACCTGGGCATTTGCCCAGATATAAAATCAGCCCCGTGGAAAAACCACAAATTAAAAACCACGGGGAAGGTGGTCTTCTTTTCCTTGGGCACCAATTTTCTTTGGAGACAAATAACTAAAACAACAAAATATAAAACGCAGAATTTCTTTTCTTTTTAAGTTAAAATACGGGTTTCCTACAGTCCTTTCAAATTTGTCTTTCACTAAAAGACGCTAGCCTATCTGCATGAACTATTTTTTTTCGATGTTTACTTGACTTTGAAATACAATATACTACCTCATTTAAACATTTTACTATCTCATAAGGAGCTTCCCAATCACTTTGTAACTTAGGAGATCTTCCTAATTTCCTACGCGGATTAAACAACCAGACCTTTTCCCCTTCCTTAAATAAAGACTTTTTTGTTTTTAGATCATAACGTTGCTTAACTTTTTGGAAGTTAAGAGTTAATTTTTGCCTAACATTTTGATAAATTTCATTCAATTTTTCTTTCAAATCATAAACATAACTTTGGGAATTTTCAACACAACTTTCTGGAGGAGAACCTTGAATTAAATCTAAAGGTAATCTCAAATCCTTTCCAAAATTTAACTC